TGTAATATGAAAAATGTGTATTATATGAAACAGAGCAAACTCAAYACAAGACATTTTCAACCCATCCCTGAGCTCATAACATACATAGTATATCGGTATATACACATAAAGCAGACATATATTGAAAAATTTTCTCAACGATGCCTTAAAATGAAATGAAAAAAAGGGAGGAAAGACCTATTGTTTGGCTGCAGAAAATAAAATGACAACCAATCAAATTATTTCCTTTTAACTCCATTTCCCCACAAATTCCCCCAAATTTTATATTAAAGTTCCCCTTTTTATAGACATATTGCTTAGTTGTGTGCAAGCATTTGGTCGATCAGTAGGAGGTAACAGAATAAACGAGAATTTTTAACAAAATTTTTCCAAAAAACAGTATAAATGTATTAAATTTATAGCAAAAACACACAGACATACAGTTAACGGTGTGTTGTGTTTCATGTCTTGTTTATTCAATTAGTAAAGTATTACTTAGCAAACCAACAAAACATCTAATTTTTAGCTTATTTTTAAAATTTTAAAATTAAGCTACTGTTTAAAAGTTTTGCTAAAAATAGTCATATCTTTAAATATTATTAGACTTACCGTTATCTTTGTATTTGTTTGTTTGAAATGAGATACATGTCTACTAAGTGACATATTGTAGAGAAATTTACTGCTATTTCTAGTTGTTTCATATATTCACTTAACATTTGCCTCATTATTATAATAGATTTCAACAATTAGTTTAATTAACTACTAATTTATAGCAAATATTAACATTATATGAATATTAATTAGAAAATTCAATAATTAATTRATTCAAGAATCAAATGTTATTCAATGTTTGTGACGATTGGCATAACACTGACTAAATAAAAGACAAGTAAATGAGTGGTCGGACTGTAAGAGAAAGAGAGATATTGATTGTGAAAATCTAGTAGTAGTAGTAGTATTAATAGTAGAGTATTACTAATAGTAGTTTTTACCAATACTTGAAGTGCAAAAACACTAAACCATAGTATCGGTGGTGTTTAAGGCCAGACATATACACAACACATAATATTAATGCTCTTTTAGTAGCCATTGGATCGATTGAATAGGAGGAGCGCCTAATCATATAAATTTATATGTATTACTAAACCATACATTTTAACATTTCAACATTGTCATTTATTTATATCCATGTCAGATAACATATACTATTTTTACACTAGAAATTTCTGTTTTTTAATATTAAATTTTTTATTTTCTTTATAAAAATATCGCTTTATTGTATCTTAAAATTACTATATAATAAATATAATTTTAAGAAAATATTCATTTTTTTGTAAACAAATTTAGGTAAAAGTAATAAATAACTATAATTTATGGGTATTTTGAATTATATATCAACTATAGAGCGCTGAAATCTATATAAAAAAATTATACATAAATTATTACAAATACAGTAAATAAATTTATGTGATGTGAAAATTTTGTGTTCAATTCATTATTTAGTTTTTTTTTATGAATTATTGCTCTCTTTTTTATTATTTTTTGTGTGGAGAGGTAGTCAAATGTGAATTATTGTCCCCAAAATTTAGTTCACACTAACAACTATGCCATAGAGTCTATGGGTTTTCACGCCTTTTTTATTGTGTTTATCACACAATAATAATAATTGTATTTTTTATATAAGCTTAAATTTTTATTCATTACACATAAAACACACATACAGTATATACACATATGTGTATATATATGTGTATATATGTGTATATATGTGTATATATGTGTATATATGTGTATATATTATATACACATATATACACATATATACACATATATACACATATATACACATATATACACATATATACACATATATACACATATATACACATATATACACATATATACACATATATACACATATATACACATATATACACATATATACACATATATACACATATATACACATATATTCACATATATTCACATATATACACATATATACACATATATACACATATATATACACATATATATACACATATATATATATATACACATATATACACATATATATACACATATATATACACATATATATACACATATATATACACATATATAYACATATATACACAKGCACAGACTCCCTCTCTGAATAAAAGCAAAAAATATATCAAATAAAACGTGCCTGGGTGTTTTGTGTATATTCAAAAATTACAATTTTTAAATTTATAATGATATCTTTATTTTATTTTTTTATTTATCAAAAATTTAAGTCTAAAATTCATGCATATATAAAAAACTGTTTACTTGTAAAAATAAATTTTAAATAATAATTTCATATTTTTTTTAAATAATTGCACATATAAAAGTGAAATCTATAAAAATAGTAGTGTTTTATTTTATTATAAAGTAAAAAGTCAATAATCATTTCTATAATAAATAAATGTCGATAATTTGTTATTTACTATAATTTATGTAAAGTAGAAATAAACTGCATATAAGTTTTGTTATATTATAGTAAATTATAATTAAGAAAATAATAATAATTAGCAAATATTATTTTATATATTGTAATATATTTGTATATCAAATAAATGTAAAATATTTAATATTCAAATAATATTTAGTATTAAAATAAATATTTTCATTATAAAAAATATTTTATAGTATAAAATACTAAATTTTTACTATTAAAAAATTATATTTATATATTTTTTGTTCAAACTTCAAAATTTTGTTTTTTAATAGAATTTCTATTTTTAACACAACAATCAAATAATTAAAGCATCAAATGTTTCATTTTATATATAAATTTCTATTTATATTGTATTTATAAATATTTATTTTATTTATTTATTAATGTAATTTCTAAAAATATTTATACATTTATATCAAATTATAAGTAATTATTTTAGTAGTAATAAAATTTTATTATTGTTATAATGATGAAATAATTTTACTATTTTACTATTTTGTTTTATATAAAAAAAGAAAAGTTAATTAAATGTCGAAATTAAGTGCATTTCTTTTGAAGATATATACAGTTATATCAGATCTAATATTAAGTCAACTATTAAAAGAAGGTTTGCTTTTTGTTAAACATCTAAATGTGTATATATTTATCACATTGTAAGACAACTAATCCGCGAAGTGTACTCTTTTTTATACATTAACTCAAGTTTTGTTCATAAAAATTAATTTTAGCTTTTCTTTCAGTAAAATGATATCTTGCAATAAAATTATTATTATCATTAAAAAGTATCTTTATTTTTATTTTCTATAAAATAATATTGCAATACTTATATAAAGTTTGAATATTTAAAATTATAAATAAATAATAGTTAATGTAAATATTAATTTAGTATTATATAATTTATATTATAGTTTAGTATACAGTCTAATGGTCATTGAATAGCCACAAGTTATTTGAATTTTGAATCACAAGATGACACCATTGCTACCATTATATGCCAAATGTTTTTTACAGTCGACAATGCGGTCAGTTATTTACAGTTTATAGTATGTATGAAACATTCAATATATTGTTATAATAGTGAACAATACATTGTAATACAATACTAAAGTATATGATTAAAGTATATATACTGTATATTATATTACTTACAGTCAGATACAGTATACAGTAGTGCTTTAAGATATGAATGATAGATAAAATAAATATAATGAATTGCAGTTATAGGATGGGATATATTTTATCACAATAAACTTAAAATGAAATTTAAATGAAATCAATTATATATTAATACATCAGAAAATTGTATAATAATTTTTTAAAACTTAGTATTATTAATTAAGTTTATTTAATTATTTTCACAATACATTACTATTTGTCTTAAACTAACAATTTAAAAAATATGTAATTAAAAGTTATTGCCAAACATCAAATTAAATTAAAAAATAATTTATATGGTTTTACATAGTTTCATTACTACACACTATTGTAGTACATACACTACAATGTAGTTTTTAAGTAACAATTTGAGCTAGTTGACAAAATTGAAAATGCACATGGTCATATGATAAATAGTTTTATGACTGAGCCCACAATGACTATCAATGAAATTAATTACCATAAAATTGTCGCTTCTGTTAAGTGGTCTCTTGGTATCAGTTTTTATAATTTTAATATAAACATTATATATATTTATTGTAACATACAGTATATAGTAATTAAATTTTTTATTATACTTAATAACAATGAATTTTCATTAAAATTTATGAGCTATTCATTGATCATCTTTGATAATAATCAGAAAATATTTGGATAATTAGACAAAACAGCTTTAAAAACTATATATATAATATAAAATTTGAAAACATCTGGATAATAAACGACAATTTATTGGAATAATAAATACATTATATAAAAGCTATTTTGGTACCAATTTTTGTCTAAAATTGCATTCAACCAAATGATGTGTACATTTTTATGTCTACTGTCCAATAAATAGTGATAATACTCAGGGTTATAGCTGTAGGGCCTAAATGTTTAAACTATAGTTAAGGCATTTTTGTTAATACTGTTAATAGCGAGAGGACAGTAAGTGTCGGATATTTTCCTGGAAAATACACTCTCAATATGCCTCTCATCGGTAACTCTAAGAAGTCGACTCTTTTGGTCATAAATTTTAAATTGATTTTCAATTTAAGATTTTCTCGAAATTATTTATCAATCATCTTGTTATTGGTTCACTAATTTGCGTGATTTATGAAAATTAATTTTTATAACTTAAAAACAATACAGTATTTAAAAATTAAATAATAAAAATTAAGAGATTTATTAAACCTTTCAACAAATTATTATATATTGTGTAATATTAAAAATTTTTAATAAAGTTTAAATTTTGAACAACTATAAAAATTAAGCCTTYATTCACAATAATTTAAAAAGGGTTATCAAATTAAATTTTTTAATTAATTTTTAAGTCAGATAATTAATAAATAAAATGTTTTAATGAAATTGTATTGAATGGATGCAAACTTTGAACACTTACTGTCTTGTAATTGATGTTCAATTAGTGATGTATCTCTCATTGTTGTTGTTGTTGTTGATGTTGTGCTCAACTCTATGCTTGGTATGAAAACTCATCAAAAATATGTTTTAAAACATGATTTCAATGATTATAATAAATTGTTAAATGATTGATGACATGTAAATCTTTTTTATAAGTTGGGCTATGAATTGTTGTTAACTTGACTTTTAATGGTAAAGTCTATTAAAATCTCATCGATCATAGAAAATATACAAAAATAAGTTAAACTCATGTGTCGTATCACTTCATATCACTTTTTTGTTGACCAAAACAGATTCAATTTGATAATAATGATGAAGACAGTCATATATACATACATAATGAATGCTAATACACTTTACACAAATATATATATCGTATGTATATATTATATAATTAAATAATCAAGCACATGTTCAATTTAAAATAATTTAGTTAAAAATTTAGCAAAAATATTCAAGTGTTTGGTACAGTTACGGCATTTCACTCCCTGAGCCGTATTGTGTGATATGCACTCACATTGAGATTCTGTATATTATAAGAACTGTTAGTATACATTGAAAAGGGAGACCATAGAAGACAGGCCCAAACTATTGGCAAAATGCTAAATAAAAATTTTCTATTGGATATATCACTGCAAAATGGGATGGATTTGTGGCAAAACGTTTAAAAAGCAGTGAATGCACACATAGCATACTATTTATCCATACATAACATACCGGCACCACTGTTTGCAGTAGCTTTTGAAGGGAATGGCTTTATCACTGCACTGGACTCTCCAACTGCCAAACCATATGAATCAAAACTGTGGCACAATTGGCTTAAAAATGATGTGTTGGGCCCGCTATGGATGTAGTTTTTATATTACATAACAACCAATACATTTCAAACATTTTTTATTATAGAAATAATTTTTTCTTTTTATAGAATATATATATATTTAAAGCTTAAATTAAAGAAATCTAAATTTTTATTAATATTACTATTATTATTATACAATATAAAATTAAATATAGACTTTAATGTTTGCTGTAAATAATTTCATATCTTATCTATAATTGACATATATTTGAAAATGTTTTCATGTGATATTTCAAGTGAAATCATATAAATAATAAATAATAATACCATTATATATATATATATATATATATTGTTTTGTATTTATATCTATAATTAATGTAGTATTGAATATTATATTTCTTAAGCTAAAAATTTGAGATAAATTCAATAAAACATAACTTATTATTATTATTGTTATTATATAAGATTTTAAAAGTGGTGTTAAAAATCGGTCAAAAATATGTTACAAAAAAAGAGCAAACAATGAGTATTGATGTCAATACATAAGTAATTCATATCAATATAAGCCATAAACCACTGACTCTTATGTAACAAACAAATGGCAGTGAAATTCTGAGAGAAAATTTTTAGTCAACATTTGAATGGCCATTGAACTCATATATCATAGTTAATGTCATGCAAACAGTGAAATAGTGGACATAACATAAGCCACACCATACTGTCCATACTGTAAGAGTTGCTCACTCTTTCACTGCTTTTCCTTTATTCATACCTTTTCCTCCTTATGGTTCTCAATGCTTAACAAAACAACATATAAACCAACAAAAAAATTCTCTGTTGAACCCATTTTTCATCATTTTTAAGTCACATTTTCTCTTTTAATACAGTATTACAACTTTGGTAGTAATAGAGGGGACAAAAAATATATAAAAACTTTGAACACTGGAATTGTTTTGTATAACAAAAGAGCTCAAAAAATGTCTGTCCTCTCAGTATCAGTGAGTCACTCATTGTAGTGGACACCAGTTCCAGGTGTGGTCAACCCTCAGATCCCCTTTGTTCTCACATATACTCATGCAATACATGGTAACCCTCTGAATATCTCTTTACTTTAAACCTTCACTTCTCTCTCTTTCTCTCTCTCTCTCTCTCTCTCTCTCTCTCTCTCTCTCTCTCTCTCTCTCTCTCTCTCGTTAGCATACAAGTGTCTCTCTCTCTCAACGGCACAGCAATGTTGTCTAACAATCAACTGACCACTTCTGGTACTATTCCAGTAGTGTTTACATACAACACGTATCCGCAGAAATACATGTTATTTACTGTACAACTGACCCCTTTATGGTGTCTCTTATATTAAAACCATATATGCCATACATTTTCTCTTTACTCGTATTCCTCAGTCGTCAGTGAATGGGTTCACAACTCAATAACCCAAACGGTATACAGTATGTGATGGTTTTGCTCATTGAATACAACTTCCCGTCGATTTTTGGGGCCCAACACACCAACAGTGCTCTCAATCGTTGTAAACCTAAGTGAAATTATTGAATATAATGTTATATTCAATCAAAGATATTTTACAAATCAAGATTATTAACTATAATTTACTTAATAACTAAATGTTTGAATTTATAATATTATGAATGAAATATATTGTTAGTATTTAATCATTTAACAGAATAGTATAAAAACTTCAAGTTTATTAAAAAATGGGCGAATTATTAATATGTTTGTATTCAATGACAAGTTTCTACATTTTTCTACTCTATATATGATAAGTAATGCTTTTAAAGAATGAATTTATTTTAATATAAAGAATAGAAAATACTAATAACAACCAAAATGGACATCAATAATGTCAATAAATATAGTGATTATAAATTTATAACATTATACCGTAAAACTCTAAATAAAAAACTATACTATTAGTACATATATATATATCAATATTCAATATATATTAATATTTAAATAATCAGTGTTCCCATACAAATGTATTTTAAATAAGTACCGTTTTCCCATAAAATATTTTTTAAAATTAGTACCGTCTTCCCATAAAAATAGTTTTTTTCAAAAATAAGTACCGTCTTCCCAGCAAATAGTTTTTTATATAAGTACCGTCTTCCCATAAAATATTTTTTAAAATTAGTACCGTCTTCCCAGCAAATAGTTTTTTATATAAGTACCGTCTTCCCATAAAATATTTTTTAAAATTAGTACCGTCTTCCCAGCAAATAGTTTTTTTTTCAAAAATAAGTACCGTTTCCCAGCAAATAGTTTTTTATATAAGTACCGTCTTCCCATAAAATATTTTTTAAAATTAGTACCGTCTTCCCAGCAAATAGTTTTTTATATAAGTACCGTCTTCCCATAAAATATTTTTTAAAATTAGTACCGTCTTCCCATAAAAATAGTTTTTTTCAAAAATAAGTACCGTCTTCCCAGCAAATAGTTTTTTATATAAGTACCGTCTTCCCATAAAATATTTTTTAAAATTAGTACCGTCTTCCCAGCAAATAGTTTTTTATATAAGTACCGTCTTCCCATAAAATATTTTTTAAAATTAGTACCGTCTTCCCATAAAAATAGTTTTTTTCAAAAATAAGTACCGTCTTCCCAGCAAATAGTTTTTTATATAAGTACCGTCTTCCCATAAAATATTTTTTAAAATTAGTACCGTCTTCCCATAAAAATAGTTTTTTTCAAAAATAAGTACCGTCTTCCCAGCAAATAGTTTTTTATATAAGTACCGTCTTCCCATAAAATATTTTTTAAAATTAGTACCGTCTTCCCAGCAAATAGTTTTTTATATAAGTACCGTCTTCCCATAAAATATTTTTTAAAATTAGTACCGTCTTCCCAGCAAATAGTTTTTTATATAAGTACCGTGTTACATTATTAATTATATTATACCTTGTACCTAAAATTATCTTAATTATAATATGAGAATAAAAAAAATATATGGGAACACGGTAATAAAAAACAATATTTCTATGGGAACATGGTATTTCGATATAAAAGTCGGTATTAGTATTGGTAAGTCGGTATTATTTTTGGTAAGTCGGTATTATTTTTGGTTAGGCGGTATTATTTTTGGTAAGTCGGTATTATTTTTGGTTAGGCGGTATTATTTTTGGTAAGTCGGTATTATTTTTGGTTAGGCGGTATTATTTTTGGTAAGTCGGTATTATTTTTGGTTAGGCGGTATTATTTTTGGTAAGTCGGTATTATTTTTGGTAAGTCGGTATTATTTTTGGTAAGTCGGTATTATTTTTTGTAAGTCGGTATTATTTTTGGTAAGTCGGTATTATTTTTGGTAAGTCGGTATTATTTTTGGTAAGTCGGTATTATTTTTGGTAAGTCGGTATTATTTTTGGTTAGGCGGTATTATTTTTGGTAAGTCGGTATTATTTTTGGTTAGGCGGTATTATTTTTGGTAAGTCGGTATTATTTTTGGTAAGTCGGTATTATTTTTGGTAAGTCGGTATTATTTTTGGTAAGTCGGTATTATTTTTGGTAAGTCGGTATTATTATATTGTAAAGTGTTATTGATATATAAATGGTCATTAATGTAATGTATTAAGGTATTTAACAATTTGAAAATAATTTATTATTTTTTGTCATAATTTATGGCTAATAACTTGTCATTCAATCGTTTTGTTATCCATTCCTTAATTAAATTTTAGTAATCAAATGACTAAATAATTAAAAAGTAAATCAAAACCATAATAATAGTCATTGTTTTTTCAATTAATCTATTTATTGATATATACTATATATTAAAAAAATTAAAAATTAATTAATTATTTGTTAATTTAATTTTAATTATTTTTTAAAATTACTATTGTTTACGTTCTTAATATTGTTAAACAGAGGTAGTCTTAATTGTGACACAATTGTGTTATTGTGATAATAATTGGCATTAAATTGATGATTACATTTGAGAGACCATATAAATAGCTCTCTAATGACATATTAATCACAAAAATTGATTATCAAATTAACAAATAATTAATTGTTTTATAAATCCATTCCTTATTAACACAATTCCTTAAAAGCATTGACTTTCATATACAGCAGTGAATGACACCAAAAGTTGTATTTCAAAAACACTGACCATTACATTGTTTCCCCTTTTTCTTCACTTGAGCTCATATGCGGCACTTATTATATACAATATATACAGTATGTACATCACTGGCAGCACTAGTGGATCATCATATGTAACCCTAAGATATGGCATAAGTTGGTCATTGATGGCATATAAACACACACATGCTGTGTGTATGTGAGAAAAATAAAAAAATAAAGAAAGAATGAGAGAGAGAGAGAGAGAGAGAGAGAGAGATTTGATGCCAATGTTTGACTTGAATACACACATGTTTATTACGTGTCACCCCTTTCGAGGAAATGGATAATGAGAT